ATCCAGTTCTCATGACTCCTTACAAGCTCAACAAATAAGTGCCATTCAAGCTGAGCTAGAACAAGTAAGGAAATCACAAGCTGATTGGCAAGCTCAATTGCAAGCATAGGTTCAAATGTAAATGCAGATGCATGAGCAACAGAATTAGTTATTGGATGAAATGCGTAGAATGAGGGAGCAGATGAGTGGAAAAGAGGCAGCTCTAGCTGAGGAGGAGTCCACGGAGTCAGAGTAGTTTAATTTAGTTTACATAAACTTGTTTATTTCTGTGAACATGTGTTATTGAACAATATGTGATGTTTTTAGTTATTTATGTGAACTTGTTTATTTATGTGAACATGGATATTTATATTTTTTTAGTATATATTGAAGTTGTTTATATCTGTTATGTGTATAGCTGTCATCTGGAAGTGGTTTCGTATAAGTTTGCAGGTGTAGAAATTTGATTGTTGGCTGGGAAGACAAATTTTTTTTGTCAATGCTACAGGTTTCCGGCGGATTATGCGTCGGAAAGTCGACGGAAACGACGATACAACGAACTAGATCGAGCATGCCGGTGTCTTTGGGTGCGTCGGAAATTACCTGCGCCAATTCCGGCAAATTTTAACGCCACTTTTGCGCCGAAAATGAACCGTAGCTTATTTACGGCGACATTCCGGCGACTTATGCGCCGGTAGTTTCCGTCGGATCCATACGACATAAACTACCGACGCATTAGTCGCCGGAATTATGGAATGAAAATCGACGTCTTCCATGTCGTATTTTGCGCCGGTAAAGCACCGGAACGTGTGCCAGAATTGTTACCGGCGGCATATAAACGTCAGTAAATATTTAGCAACGCGAGCCAAACCGGCGGAGGCAAATCCGACGGAAATGCGTCGGAAACTGAGGATTTCCGTCGGATTTCACATGTTACCGGCGGATACAGTCCGCCGGTAATGGCGTGTATTCTTGTAGTGATTGTAGCGCAATTTCAGAATCTCAAATTTTAGAGCCATAAACATTGCAATGTCACTATTTGGTGTTTGGTACTGTAGCAGATCTGAGGCCCTCAGACACCCAATATTGGGGTGCTTCAATAGCGACATTTCTCAAATTTTATTGAAATTTGCTCAGGGTCCTTGAGAGTTGAGACTCATGCTATAATATATATGCAACCATTTTTATGCACTAAAACATTTCCAGAAACATGTATATGGGTTTAAAACTAAAAAATTATATTTTCTTAGTCGGGTCATAACAGTTCAAACCAAAGGATAAATTTAGAGGTGTTACACATATTATTAAGGATTTAAGAAAAAATACATTGTACATTGGGTTAGGGTTCAACCTAAATTTGATATTTTTTTGGACTCGCCAACCCAAACTTATATTAAAAAAAATTTATGGTGATGTGGCTTGAATGGAATACAAACAAGCAATATTCAATATTAATGAGTTTTAGCTACATTCTACAAAATTTTGTGTCATTTTAACTCACTAAATCTTATTAATCAAGAAATCCATCAAGAACTAGAAGAGAAATAACTAAAATATATATAAATCCACAAAGCCATCTTTGTCTTGAGCGACATGCAAGCTTAAGTAAATTGACTGAAGGGAATGACTGAATGATAATTAAAAGGATTTTCTTAAATCGTTTTCAAGTTCCAAGTCTCGAAAACATGAAAGGAAAAAACTCTAAACAATAAAATAGATAGAGAAATAATAGTTTGGTGGAATGATGAGAGGCGATGGGGGTGGCTTTCACAATGTGTGATGTACTCCTCTAGAGGTTGGGATGGCGAGATGGTGACGTCGACAAGTTCGAGGGAACAGATTGAGGTGATGGAAGTGACTGAGAGAAGGAAGAAAAGAACGACGAACACATGAAGTAAAAACCATCATAGATCTAGCCGACTAGCCCTAACTCCAATATAAATCTAACTAGTTGCTTTCGGGTCATTCTTAAGTTTTTTAGTCAACCTAATTCAAACCCAATATTGAAATTGGGTTGAAAAATTGATTTCAAACATGACCTATTTGCTAGACGGGTTGAGCCAATTCCAAAATTTTTTTGTTGGGTCCGATTTGTGTCATATATTGACACCCCCTATTCTTGTTATTATGTCAAAGTTGTTTAAGATGCAATAATGGGTGGTTCTAACTATTAAATAATCTTTGTTGTGTACGTGATGTTGAGTAGGCGATATGATCATGCTACAACAATGGGATGATGATGGTTATGCAACAGTGGTTAGGTATGGACTTGCAATGATCATTGGCACTAAAAATTTGTTCACTCTATATAGTTCTTAAAAATCTTAAGCTCTTTAATTTATTGTTAAGTGACATTTATTTATTGTTAAGTGACATTTTTATAATTTTACCCAAAATATCCAAGCACCTAGATGTCCCATGTTAATCAATACCCATTGTCATATATCATTTTTTTTTTCATATTTATGTGCTTTAATGACCTCATATTGAGTTATCTAAAACTCAATGAATTTTTTATACTAAGATGCTCATTTTGATTATAAACACTTAAAGTTAAAAAAAAATTTGAACCCTTCAAATAGTGTCATAAATTATTAATATGTGAATTTAGACTATTTTTTCATGTTTATTTTACAGAATTTTATCATATTGTATTTGACATAATGTTTATGTTACACAAATTTTTAAAATTAAATCACCTGCAATGTGATAAATAAAAAAATTTAAATATAAATTTCTCTTGCGGAGAGAAACGTTAACATATAAAGTCTTTCATAATTTTTAAAATTAATAATCTAATGAATCTCCAAAAAAATAGATAAAAAGTCAAATCAATCAATCATTTCATAACTAATAAATAAATAGAAAATAAATGTCCTAAATAATAAATAATAAATAAATACAAGCAGGAAAGCCATGAATGCCGGAAAAATAAGTGATTATGTAAAAGGAAGGACTTTCTCCTTCAGCTGCTTCTGCAACTTCTCGGGATTTGTAATCTAAACTGCCAATTACGCACCTGCCATGCATGACTGAGGAAGCCCATGACTGAAGACTATTTTTCGCTGTTTAAATAATTAATATGCTCCAAACGATTCGAGGGGTAATTATATGCATTATTATCAACTGTAAATAAATATTGATACAGATAATTTCAGCAGATAATATTGAATAGATAGCAACTGATGATATTTGAAGCAGATCACTACTGAAATTGAAGAAAATGTTCTGCCAAACTAACAAAAATAAGAACTATGTTCCTTTGATTCATCATATTCCTGCAATCTGCGCTCTTCCCTTTGCTGCAGTTGCTTTCTGAACTTCAAAAAAAATTTACAGTTAGTAGAAGAAGATAGAACACAAGAGAAGATAGAACGCAATCTTCTATTTATAATTTTAATTTTAATCTTTCATGCTAGGACTTCGTTTGGGACGACTTTTTTAGTACTTCTTAAAGCAAATTCTTAGTATAAAAACTAAATATTAAAGTTTATAAGGTGGTATGGTGATAAGAATGAAATATATGAGTGATATATTTGATATTAAAATTTTAAATGAGTGATATGTATGTAATATTCAAATTTTGGGTATTCGATATGTAAATAACATTAAATAAAGTGATATGTATGTAAATCCCCCATTTTTACTTACATTTTATTTTAAGCTATTTACATATCTAAAATTCATAAAATAAAATTTTTATACTAAAAAGCTGATCTAAAATAGTTAGAAAACCATCATAAACAAAACCTATGTCACCCTCTTAAACTTAAATTGGTACACAAACAATAGTTTATATATATCTATATGTATTAAGTTTTTAAATGTTGTGTATGAATAAGCTTACAAATAGTGTTAGCTAGTCTTAATTATTCAATATTTAAAAAAAAATCTGATCACTAAAAATATTTATTAAAATTAAATTAAAAGTGCTTTCTCTTTACAATAGCAATGCATAATCTTTGAGGATATGGTAACATAAAATCTTAACTTAGCAATTTCAGACAGTACTAAAATATTATTAGTAAGAATTTCTAAGATATTTTTAGTGATTAAATCTTGTATTTATTTGTTACTGCTTTCAACTAAATAACAAAATCAAATGAGTTAGTTTTATACACATATTTTCTACAACCAAAGGGAATTTAATGAAAGTTCTTGTCTCAGTTCATGATTACTGTCCAGTGATTAATTAAAAAAATTAAAAACCCCAACTAGCCGTAGAGCCTTCTTCCATGCATCTCTCTAGCTACCAACTTCTCCTCTTGCAACCTTCCGGCTGTAGCTGGTCCACTCCGGCGAACACTGCCCCCCTCCTCCCTCTCTCCTACTGCTCTTTAATAGCCTCCACTCTCGATCCTCTCCGTGGACATACAGTTGAACATCATTAAAAGAATTCCAATGCTTTCCTTCAAAGGTAATAAAACAGTTTTTATCGTTCCCGAGGGCTCAAGCACTAAGCTTGTTGAACTACGAAGATTTTCTTTGGTTTACAAGGTTTTGCATGGTCATCCCAATCTTACTTCTTTCAGAAATTAATAAGAATATAGCAATCTGAGTGAAAATTTGATCATCTCATCAAAGATTTCATTACTTGTTTCGCTTGCAGATCCATCCTCTGGCGGTTTAATTTCTTTTTAGGATGTTAAGATGGTCAAGGGAGTTTAACCTAACTAATGAATCTCATACTGAGCTAATTAATCATGATGGCATTTATCCATTTTCAGGTCTTGATATTTGGCAGATCATTGCGTCTGGATGTTCTAAAAGCATCCTTTCATGTTTTTTTTTTTTGGTACAGACATTGGTGGAAGTTGATTTTTCTTTAGTCTTTACATATAAATTATTTTGTGCAAATAACGGATGTAGCTCTGTGTCTGGAGGCGAATCAGAGCACATCACGTCACTCGGTACACAGCGGGTATATAACTGCAGTACACAACAAAGAGGTGACATGACGTGCTCTGATTTACCTCCGGACGACGTCCGGTATCGGCATAAAATAATGAATTGCCTGAGAGGGTGTTAGTTATTGCAATTATTGGCATATCCTAAGCCATAACATTACGTAGTGTGGAAAAGTTGCTTAGTTCTAGGTGTATTGGTATCTTTAGAATTTCTATTAAATGTTAATCTTAGTCTTCATCAGGACAACCTTGTCCCTTATCCTCTTAAGTAATACTTCATTGTCGCATGTAACTCTTAACATAGAGGCTCATCTGGATTAATCTCTTTTGGACTCTCTTCCTTCTTTTAATGTTAATGTGGAGGCTTCCATTCAACTTTCATTGTTAGTATTTTCACCATTAGATGACAGACAACAATGGGAAGCAATCCTCTAGTCATACTTGTGTATGTCTGACACTAAAATTTCGTTATTGTTTTTTAAAATATTTTTTTAATAAGAAAGATGTTTTAAAAACAGCAAGAAAATAGTTCCAAATGAAACTTAAATGTAGACTAACTCTGAGAATTTTTTTTCAAATTCTTCCCACAATTAATTTGGCATGAAAGAAGTAAGATCTTCTACTAAGAAATTATCAACTATGATCCATCCGAATGGGAGACAGATTAGATCCAAATAACTTCTTTGTTGTTTCTTAGTACTTTCAATTAATCTTTTTAGCCAACTAGATCTTATTTTCTTTGGCACTAACACAATGCCTTACCTTATAATTCCATTTTAAGTAATAATATTTTCTCTTTAGTAATCAAAAGTGATTACTCGATCAATTTAAACTTACATCAAAATTAATTACATTACTATCAATATAAAATCATATAAAATAAAAAAGAAAAAGAAATTGATCTTCCCTCACCTAAAAATCTCAAATCAGTGAGAGATTCCCTTGCAGTGCTGAATAAATCGGATCCGCTCAGCTTTCAATTAAGGCTTCGGCTGTTGTTGAGGAAAGAACAGTGTTCCTGACATGAAAGCCCCAACAGGATTCGGATATATTGATGAAGTATCCGTAACCAAATCGCCGGCAGCCGCCGTCGTACTCCCCATAATAACTCCCGTCCCAAACCCACCGGCGGCGCTTGACGAAGACTCGCCGGAGTGGAGCATTTGGCGCTCCGCTGAGGAAAACTGAGGGCCTTGATCATATAATAAACCCTTGAATACGCGTCCTCTTATACTAACCGCCGTCTGATACGCAAGCTGCTCCTCCGCCTCATCCACTTGTTTCACCCTCACGCATCGAAATACTGCCGGTAAGCACACTTCCGCCGGAAAAATCTCATCTTGGTCCATCACCGCTCTTCTGGAGCTCTCTCCGGCAGCGAACCTCTGATTTCTGTCTCGGCGTTTGGCGGCTGGAACCCATGTGCTTTTGACGTGTGTTTGGCAATGAAAGCCGCGGTTTTTACAGCAAGTGCGGCATCGCATGTGAGAACAATCTTTTCTCGCTTGGTTTCCGCAGTCTTGGCAGCTTATTCCTTCTCTGTTATCGCTGGCGGGCTCATCACCGCCGCCGAAGGCGAGCAGAGAGCCCGTCGGCACTGAGAAAAGTTGCTCTTGCTGTTTCCATACGTTTTGGCCGCCGCGGCCGGTTCTGTTGTAAAGGAAGTGGCTTTCTTCTTCGCCTCCTCGTTGGTTTCCGTGGCCGAAGCCGCCGTCGTCACCTCCGCCACCTAGAGAGAAGCCTGCCATTGTTCTTTCGTGTTTGCTTCCTCCTCCGTTTCCATGGCCTCTGCTTTACTTGAAAGTGGATCGCATAAACCTTCGCTTGCTTCTTGGACAAAGCATGGGGAAGGAGAAGAGAGGAAGTGAATGGAAGAGGAAGAGGAAGAAGAAAGGCTTTTCTCCCTTTTGATTAAGCTTTTCGTTGTTTTGTTTTGTTGTTGGCAAAGGTGGCATAAAAAAAAAGAAGAATTTGTGGAGGAGAAACGATTTTTCTTCTGTTGTTAATTAACATATGTAAGTTGAGATTTTTCAATTTTTTATTTTTTAATATGTGATCTAAAATGAAGGGGGGGTTTATATTTGAGGAAGAAAACTCTCCTCCCATGAATTTCTTTCACGTCATCATAAGGGAGCAAGAAATTAAGCATATGGCACATTCAATAAAGAATACTTAAATCAACCACTTTTGCCAAAACTTTTTTTATTTATGAAAAGCGATTGAACAATTACTCAAACTATTTTACTAACAACAGCCTAATTATTACAGAAACTTTCTGATAACAAACTTTTTTAACAAGCAATTGCTTTTAACCTGTAAAGTAGGAGAAATTATTTTGTGTGGACTCCGGACCTAACTCTATGTCCGGATACTGTAGTATCGAGCTATATATACCAAGCATCGGTAGTAGGTATCGGTACTGAGTACCGAACAGTACCGAGTCACGGTACAGTAAAAGGGTTACATGGTGCATTTTTATTGATCTATGGACATTGTTCGGTATTCGCACAGAATAATTTTTAGTAAATTTGAGATCCAAGGCCTTAAAAAATAAGCAAATAAATTTATAAAAAAAAAAAACTTTTTAGTCTGTTTTATGAACAGCCCTTTATCATTGTGCTGCCTGCCACGGGATATGTTCTTCTTCTCCATAATCTAATTGATCTGAGTAATAATCTTCCTTCCTTAGCCTCTTTAGTGTTTTTTATCTCTTCTGCGATGAAGCAGCAACAAGGAAGCAGGAGCAGAAGCATTTCAGCTCTGTAGCTTTGTCTTTCGGATTTTTTATTTTTATTTTAGGTTTTTCAGACTAGGGTTCCTTTTGGTCTCTGACTTTGCTGCGGAGATTATTTAAGACACCGCAATGGAGCCTGCAACTATCGCTGCTACAAAATGAATTTTATTTAAATTTTTTTAGTATTTTATTCGAAGCATTTCAGCTCATCTATGACATATTAAGTAATAAAAATATATTTTATATGGATTTTTTAGTGAAGGATTCGTTTTCTTCTATTTCTTTTTTGTAAATATTTTATTCTGCCAAATTTTATGTAGAAAAAATTTTAAAATCAATTTTCTACGTAACTAGTAAGTAATGGATTTATTAATTAAATATTAATGAAATATTGAAAATTTGGGTAAAACATTAGTACAAGTGGTCAACAATAATAATTTTGATATTTTATCTGAAGATAAAAAACAAAAAAAAAATTAATTACCAGCAAACCTTTTCACAAAAGAAAAATAAGAGTTGAAACTAAATACTGTTATTTTTTTATTTTCAGATTTTTTGTTTTGATGGTTAAATTTTTACATGCTCTAATGTCTAATGGGAGAAAATAATTATTGTTGCGTCCTATAGTATTCGCGGCGGTAGAGAAGTATATAGTTTAACGTCTTAGCATTGTACGAAGATCAGCACACAAGCAGATAAGAGAGGGGGTGAAACATTCATAAGATACACCAGAGTTTTTTACGTGGAAAACCCCTGAAAAGGGGGAAAAACCACGGGGCCTGGCCTAGTTTGAATGAATCCACTAGTATTTGTAGTCGTTACAAATGAGACTCTTCCTTGGGAGAAGACTTGGATTGATGTAGCAAATGTACGTCATACAAATTGCATTACATAGTAGGAATTACATATTCATATTTGTCTAGTCGGAAGGACCGTAGTCGGCAGGAGACCGCATAAAATTCTACACATGGACAAATTGTAATATAATTTAAGAGTAGCTTATAAAAGATTAAAGGTTTTTCACTAAAAAATTTAAGAATGGAAAAATCACAAGATTTATTTTTTATGTGTGGAATCTGATTGTGTTAATTAATCAGATTGTATTGTTGTCTCGAACCTCAAATTTCTCATGCTAGCTAGGAGGTGCGAGATGTTTACCCCCTGCTTGGGCTCGGGTGTTTTGTACTCAAAATTTATTTTCCTATACAATATCCTAACACTGTGTAGTCGAGTGCCCTAACGTTATGTTTTTGAGCTCCTCAATGCTAAACGACATATAGCAAAGTATCACAACAATCTAGATATGGCCCCGCAGCGCTGTAAGACAGGCTTGAACGTCGTAGCATCCCAAACCGGCACCGCAACGCTGCGATATAGACTTATCATTTATTTTTTATGTTTTTCTCAAGGGTTAAGTCCCTTGGTGGATAGAACTTGTTTTCTTTTGTATTTATTATGACAAGAGTGAGAATAGTGCATATGAGAAAAGAAGCAATGAGAGAGTGAGAGAGGATAAATATTTACTTATTTCTCCCAATTTTCATAGTGGATTTCTTGATGTGGTGTGGCTCCGTGTTTTTTTCTTATATCGGGTTTTTCCACGTTAAATTCGGGTGTCCTTTACTTTCCACTATCATTTTCTTGCTGGTTTCATCATTGTGCATGTGTATACTCCTCATCTCCCCAACATCAATTACCAAAAGCTTTGCTTGGTTCGACTTTTTATTATTTTATAAAGCAACTTTCTAATACCCAAGAAAAAATTTCTGTACTAAAAATTTATTTTAGAAAGTAATAAGAAAGCTATCTTAAACGAAACCTGAATTGAAATGATCATACTAACATAAATCATAGGCTCGAAATATTGTATTTCATATAATTGATGAAAATATATATTAATATAATATAGTAAATATGATCTTTCGAAGTTAACTTGCATGATAGAAGTAGAAGAGCTTGAGGGGTTAGAATGTCATCAAGAGACCTTCGGTGACAATTCATTTGTTTTCCTAATAAAAAGGATGAGCATCTTTCGAAGGCTAATCATAAAATTTGTCAAAAAAGTTAGTAAGAGATAATTTAATTATTGAAAGAATGAATAAATATCAAATAGTATTTAATTAGCTTTTCTCTTTACATTTTAGTTTATGGCTTAAGGTAAAATCTACTATAAAAACACAATGAACAAATCAAAGCTCTCCACTGAGCCTGAGTGAGCCACACTGCCACAGTGCTAACAACTTTATCATTTAAGTGGTGGAGAATTAAGAACAGAATGAATGGAGGAGCTGAAATTTTGGATGAATAATGTATGAGATTCCATTTGGAGTTCTTTGTCTTTGCCGTCTCGAGCCCTGTGCTCCTTTTTGTTGACTCTCTCTCTCTCTTTATTTTTTAAGGGAATATATATAATTTTATCTTAAAGAGTTTTGTTATTTTAAGGCTTGGACTTGAGAAATTACTACGTACGGTATTGCGTTTAGAAGAGAATCGGGATGCACCATGTTACCATTTTGCTTTGTACCGCTATGTACCGGATGACGTGAAGCATTGTGATTCACCTTCAGACGGTCCGGTGACCACACGTAATAATTACTCTCGATTGAGACATCTATCTTACTATTTTTTAAAATATTTTTTAGCACAAAATTTTTTTCAACAATTTTATGGTTGAAAAAAATTTTGTACTAAAAAGTTGTAATAAAAACACAAAAATAAAGTTGCCCAAAACAAAGCCTGTTTTAAGAAATCAACGATCATCTAAATGCAATATAAATTAAATTATATATATATATATATATATATATATATATAACAAGCTTCGTGACAATGGTAAT